GGCCCGATAGCCGCGCTGGGCGGAGCGGGGACAGCTGCTCCCTCCCGAGTACCCGGCGCTGCGCGGAGAGAACGGGGCTTTATGCGGACAGCGTGATAGAGCTTTCTGTCGCGTGCTTAGTTTATATTGCTTTTATCTTTACAGTAAATAGGGAAGAAAATATATTTTTTAAAGATCTTATTTAGGGCATGGTCGTTTTTAATCGCGTCTTTATACAGTAAAATATCGTGTTTATATAGTAAACTATGTCCGAGGATGCATAGAAGACAGAAGGCTGTATGTCATTTCTAGTTTCTGCAGCCAAAAATAAAGATCAGCCATAGAGTACACGAATGTAGTTCCCAAGCTTGCTTTATTAATAAATTTCAAATTAAACGAAATCATTTGCGCTTACTAAAGGTCAGGACAAGAATACATAAATATAGCCAAAGGAATACGCGTTTTTATAATAATAATTGTTGCACGATTAAGTCAATCCATGTTTGCTTTGCAAACACTATGAAAAGCTTTAATTATTGGTTTGTTGTAGTTAATATTTTCCTTGATTCGTAATGCATCGAGACACACAGGAGAAGGCGTTTGTAAGGCGAAATATATATAAATATATATAATTTCCGTCATTGCTTTCTGTAACAACTCCAAACTCGAATTATTTTTTTCAACTAGCAAGTATAGTTTTTCGATTAAGAAGAATACCTGCGGCAATTTTATCTGTGCAAACGCGCTTCGCTGTGCAATGATGCCCGAGCCGTCTTCTCCCTTCGCAGAGAGCGGGATGTATCTGACCGTCAGGTCGCTAAAGGAGATCTCGCTGACGCAGAGTCTGTTTGAAACCTGGTCGCAAAACCGGAGCAAAACGGCACACGAGCCTGCCTTTTATAAAGGTATTTTAAGGATTCGGATTTCGCATGCAGGGTGCAATTAGTATGGAAGCAAACACAGAGCTAATTAGCCATAACCGGGCCACGGGAGAAGGGCCGTGCGCCGCTCGGGAGCGCGCAGCGCGTGGGGCGGCTGCTCTTCCGCCCGTCCCCGCTCCCTCAGGGCTGGGCGAGGAGCGGGGAGGCGGCGCG